GAACTAAGCATTCCTCACTTAAATGTTTTGTTAATTAGTTTAAATCCTTGCATGAGAACTTCATTTCGAAGACAGGACACATGGGATGGTACCAGGAAGTCCCATAGTGCGACATGCAACCTTTAACCCGCTTCTGTTGATGCCTACATGCATTTTTTTTTTGCCCGGTGTATACATGTGTGGAACGGTCTTTCATTTACTGCTGTTATCGCTCTGTCTTTGCTTGTGTTTTTTTTACAGCCAACAGCCATCTGTCATCACCTACTGCCTAATTATAGCACCCATTGCCACGATTAGCCATGCTATTGGCAATAAACCGATTTAAGATTGAAGAAAGATCAACATAGCTTTTCTGTTGTACTTTTTGTTTTCAAAGGGTTATCAGGTTTAATAAGTTGTAATGAGCTTTACTCCTTGTTCTCCAGGGGACCCCAAGCCGAGTTAGCTAACAGGCCGATCCTCTATCCAACAAGAGCGAATAGAATAATTGTGTTATTGAATTCTCAAGCTTCGCTTTAAACCCAATTTTTTGTTAGATTTTACTCAGGGTCGTCTTAAGTTGTACAGGATTCAGGCTGTCGCCCATTTAATAATATTATAGGTTCAAACGTAGAAATGATGGCTGAGATACAGTGAGTACCAGTGAATAAGCTGGAAGTCCAGTATTCGAGGTTTAGAACTAAATAACACCAGATAATTATTGAATGGAACTTTGACCGAATTCTACCGAATTTTGACGCACATTGCTTAAGATTAGAAAGATCTTGAAAACTGTTATGATTTTGCAAACAAACATAATTATGAACAAAACAAATTGCTGTTAGAACTATAAATTAGGCTTTGTTCACACTATACCGAAAAGCTTTTGCGCCGCCACTAAAATCAAACCGGATAGGGCTTCCCGTCACACGGCAAGAACGGTGATTTCGGCGCGAAGAGAACGGAGCAAACGGTGTGCACTTTGGTGCAGCGATTCGGACCGTCGCGAAAGTTTTTAATAGTAGGAGCGAGGACTGGAACCCACTGAGACGGAATTGTAATGAGATTTAAAATTAAAGTCCTACCTGTGCGGAAAAGGCATCAAATTTTTCGACCCAACATTTAAAGTTTGCACGCTGGCTGCTGCAGCGCTGGCAGGTAATTCATAAACGGTGTGGTTTGCCATTATCACGGTTTCAGCTTTTTCCACGATGGAGAAAATTTCTAGTGCTGAAGCCAATAAAATCATGGTTATGTACAACACGAGGAAAAAACGGAAAGCCTTCTCTGTCTCCTTGATCAGCGTTCTTATTTTTATGGCTTTTTTCCTGGCTTTATCTTCGGTTGGATAGAGACCACCTCCAAGCTCGTCTTTGAATTTGTCCACTTCGCAACACAGGAACAACATCATGTAAAGAAACGCGTAGAAAATGGGCAGAGAGAAACCGCGACTGGCTGCGAAAAATATAACATCAAAAGCTATTTGTGTCGCTGAGAAGGTGTTATTACTGGTCGCCGTGATCTTTCCATCTCTGTACCTTGGCATTGGCAAAAAATCTGGCATTAACATTTGCGTGGCATGCAAAGTTATTGGAACGATAAATAGCCAAGCCACAGAATTTACCAGGAACACGGAGATCGAGTGGGACGAAGCTCTTCTCTTCACCTAAAGATGGCAGAAACAATTTAGAAACACTGACGTTAAGTATAGAAAACGTCTTGCGTTTAATTCCGTATTTCAAAACGTCAACAGTACAAGAATGTTTCAATAGTGGATGAGTTCTTTGAAAGGCCAGAACCCTCTTCATGTTGTAATAAATAGTCTGCAAACACAGCCTTTTAGCGAGGAGAAACAGCTGTTTCGCATGCTGCGTAACAACCAGTTAGTTGAACCACTTTCTCCGGAAGGTCCTACTCGGTAGCTTTTATTTGAATGGTCGCGCTGAGGATTACATCCACAGACTCAAAGCTAGACCATCTTTTTACAGGATAATAAACAGTACCACAGGAAAGTATTGCCCAGTAGCTTTCATTTGGTCACATCATAGGATTTCATCCACAGACTCAAAAGTTAGAACCACGTTGTACAGCATAATAAACAGCACCACAGGAAAGTACTGCTCAGTAGCTTTTATTTGAATGGTCACACTTTAGGATTTCATCCAAAGACTCATAAGTTAGAACCACCTTGTGCAGCATAATAAACAGTAACACAGGAAAGGACTGCTCAGTAGCTTTTATTTGAATGGTCACACTTTAGGATTTCATCCAAAGACTCATAAGTTAGAACCACCTTGTACAGCATAATAAACAGTACCAGGGGCACCCAACGACAATTTTCGGAAAATATCTGTTCGGAAGACGATTTGAGATCTAGAATTTTCGGAACATTTGTTGTAAAATTTCTTGCTTGCCTGCCTCTCCTAGGATTTTCGAACATCTAAAAAATGGTATAATTGCCCATTTTTAACGGATTTTTACCCTTAAAAGGTCACCTAGAATTTTCGGGAGCCTTTTTTCTGGCTGAAATTTTCGAAGAGGTAACTTTTGATCCCTATAATTTTCGGATCACTAGACTTTCAGCTAGGAAATCCCAACAGATGAAAAACTTTTAGGGGATAAAAATATGCCTAATTTACCGTTTAACTACTAAAATACGTTTAACAATGCTATGTTAAGTGGTTTTGAACTATATTCTCGTTGGGTGCTCCTGCAGTACCACAGGAAAGTACTGCTCAGTAGCATTCACTGGAATGGTTACACCACAGGTGTCCCTACCCAAGCTCAGGAGCAACAATCAACACTTTGTATGAGAAATAAAATTCTGAGGTCTCGTCTGCGAACGCTAAATATCATAATTTTTACTTTTTTTCCCTTAATTAAATAAAGGAGTCTTACCTTTTATGTACTACTGTGTTTTTGGTGTGAATTTGTCGATTTACAGTCGACTCCCGATAACTCGAACTCGAAGGGAAATCTCGAAAAAGGGTCGAGTTATCGCGAGTTCGAGTTATCGGGCGCTTGAAAACAATAGCCGGGAGTAAGGAAAAAAACAGTTTTTACTGCACAGTGAACATTTTAATCACATTTAATTATAGAAATGTCAAGTGAAAATTAAAAGATACTTCTTGATTATAAATAAGAACGTAACATAACAAAACCTTGCTTAAATAGAGCATGCGCTTTACTGTTTTGAGAAGTAAAGCTGTTTCACGTTAGATTTGTGACAAACAACATCAGCCTCCAATAGTAAACTATATGCCTACAACACGTCAATGGGAAATTCAAAATTCAATGTGTGGGACACCAGTAGACTGTTTTTTCCCGACTTTTACGGGCTCAAAACATGGTTCGAGTTATCAAGGGTAAAATTATATAGAAATGATCTGAGGGGAAACAAAACTATTTCGAGTTAGCGGGAGATTGGAATTATCGAGGGTTCGAGTTATACAGAAAATGTATGACTGAAATCCAGGGGAAATCGATTTCGGTTCGAGTTAACGCGAGGTTCGAGTTAGCAAGAGTTCGAGTTATCGGGAGTCAACTGTAGTCGGTTTTTTTGGCTGCTATTGTTTGACCTCTGTCACTCTCTTCATAATACGAAGGGATCAAACAATAACAGCCAAAAAAACGGACTAAATCGATAAATTCACACCAAAAACACAGTAGTACATAAAAGGTACGTCTTCTTTCTTTATTTCACAGAAAAAAAGTAAAAATTATGATATTTAACGTTCGCAGACCTCAGAATTTTATTTCACATTTTGCTTGTAACGCGACACCGACTCTCTCGTGAAAAAGTTAATTTACATAACACGCTCGTAACGTGAGCTTGGGACACCTGTGGTTACACTGTAGAGTTCCACGACTGCTTTAATATCGTTAGATTTCCTTGTGCAACATATTCAACAGTAGTACTACAAATTTCGTGCTCAGTAACCTTAGGCTGGACGGTTACACATTACAATTTCTCTAAAGAGGTTAAAATAACGTGTAAAGCGTAATTTACGGTTCCCTAGGAATAAACCCCGGGCAATCCTCTTACTCTTCTTCCCTGTTTCCTTCCTTCCCCCAGTTCCCCGTTCCGGGAAACTTACCTCTTCCTTGGTGATGCTCAGCTGCTTCAGAAGTCTTTCAAAGTTGCCGAACAAGAAAAATACGAGTCCCACGTGCTGATTTACTATCCAACATAAACCGTGAGCCATGTTCTTGATGTCGGTTAGAGGGCACAGCCAATCGACTTCCTCAATGGTTTGCGGTGGGAAAAATCCCATCGAGTAAAGGAAATAGGACCACATTATGAGCACAACTATCCCCTGCCAAATAGCGTATGCGATTCTACATACTTTTCTTGGCAGGTTATGCCTTTTGATGAAATTTTCTGCGGGCCAAAACCACTGCCCGGCGAGGAAGAAACACAAGCGAGTATAACGATGTAGCAGCGTCATGGCGTTGCGTTCTGTTGTATCGGGATCATCGTCCGGTATATTTATCCCTACGTGGGGTGGCCTTATAATAATCGCAGATTCTCTAGATTGATCGAAATTGATCGAAAAATTCCTTTTTTCTTCGGATAATTGATGATAGCGATTCATTTTCGATTTTGCCTCTCTCACTAAAACGATGTCGTAGTTCCTCTAAATGCGACGGTGCTTGCGTTTTGAAGGGGTTTTCCCGATTAGTTTCCTAGACGTCCACTGGCTCGTTTCGTTTGTTTTGATCGGCACATTTCTTAGAAATCAGACAACAAAGAACTCTCTGTCAATGGTGTGAACCCAGGATTAATTTCATAAGTAAGTTAAATAAATATTTTGAATACGACCATCCGGTTGAGTGCATTCCCGAATAGGTCTGAACGTGGCCTGTGCGGAAGTTATCATCGCATGGTCTTCGTCGTCATCATCATCATCATCATTTTGCCTTGTCATGTTATGAATCTTTAAATCATAAAGCTGACTATAACTTCACCTAATTTATAAGCCTTGACTTTTAGTCAAGTAGTTTCACTCGTCTTCAAGTAATACATTGATTTTTTAGTGACTATATTCAGTTTTACAATACCATGTAATTTCCTGAGGTATTTATTAAACATCTGTACGTTACCCGTAGCCTGGGAAGACTTAGGAGAAGGAAAGGTAACGTGTTATCAAAGCAGTCAAAATCCTGCTTTACAGACACCCGCTTAATACGGACATATCATTATTACGGACAGTTTGCCTTGTCCCTGTCAAAAAAAGCCGTACATTTTCTCTAAATTCAACACCTTAATACAGACACCCCGTTCAGACACTTTCTATGGCCCCCTCAGTGCCGTCCGTATCAACGGGCTTTGACTGTATATCCTTACACGCTTGATCAAAATCTCCCCTATCCTTTCATCCTTTCTTGAAAAACGGTATTCATGATAAAATTTATTCAGTGGTAAACAGCGATCAGGCGTCACTGTCTATTGTCGCGTTGTGTTATTTCTTTTGTATTAAAAAGTTACAGTCAAACCCCCATGGTTAACACGGACACTGAGGTAGTCTGCTACACAGCCGTTTTTAGTGTCGTCACGCAACGCTCCTCCCCGAGGAGCGTTGCGTGACGACACTAAAAACGGCTGTGTAGCAGACTAACACTGAGGGGGCCATAGAAAGTATCCATATTAATGGGGTGTCCGGGGGGGGGGGGTTAACAGCACCGTACAAAGGAGAGGTAGCAGGAAGGGGG